ATGCTGGAGGCTTGAGGCTGAGTCTATGGAGAGACCTTGAGGGGCGAGGCCTGGCTGTGCCTGGCACCGTGCCCCAGGTCCAGGTCAGCCTGGGCTCCCAGCCAGGACTTGACCTGGAGGCCAGCTGTGGCCATAGGATGCGGCCGTTTCTCTGCTGCACTGTTTCCCTCATCAGGCCCAGTGATAATGAGGGCGGAGCACATGGGGACTGAGCAACACCTCAGTCAGGGCTCCAGGGGTGTGGCCACGTGACCTCCGACCTGCCGGCCCAGGTGGCCCAGGGGTGCAGGGCTGGCCCAACAGCCTCCTTTCCAGATGGGGGTGGGCCACACTTTGAGGTGGGAGGTAGTGATCTGGGTCCCAGGCTGTCATTCCTACTGCCCTCTGAGGTCCCTGTTCTGGCCCTGCCCCAGGGAGCACAGGGCTGGGATGCGGGCGGGGTCTCTGTCTCCTGGACTGGTGTCCCAGCACGGGGGCAGGGCCTGTACACAGGAGCCCTCATAAATATCCAAGGACTGAACTTGGGGCCTCTTTCCAAAGGTACCCCTCCTCTCAAGTTTCACCTCCCTGTTTTCAATCCCCGAGCTTCCCAAATGTTTTCTTCCTCCCATGCATCAGCTTGGACTGTCCCCTGCCTCGCTGCCACATCCAGTCACCAACCACTGGTCCTGGGTCCTCTCCAACCCACATGGCCTCTGCCCCTTCTTTGGGGAGGGGGTCCCTGCCTCCAGGCCCTGCCATTGGCTCCCTCAGGAGGCCAGAGGGGTCTCATGAAACCCCAACCAGATACCACGCCCTACCCCTTGACTATGCCCTTGCCAAGGCCTCCCCACACCCAGCAGGCAGGCTTCTAGGCCTCCCTGGCTGCCTGAGGTCTGGCCACATTGTTCATAGCATCTCCATCACCTCCCCCACCATCACCAGTGCTCAGCAAGGGGAATGGAGCCCCTCTAGAGCCTTGGGAGCCCCATTCCCAGCACTCCCTGCTGCCTCCGCCCCAACTCCCAGCAGCCAAGCCTGAGCAGGCTAATTAATGGCTCAACCCCGTTATCAGGCAAATGCTAATTACTCTTTTTAATCTGGGCTGCCTGTGTGGAAGCTCCTGGAGTTGCAGCAGGGCTGGGGGGTCCAGAACCATGACCTCATCCCTCCTTGGCAAGTAGGCACGCAGGCCCCAGCGAGCGCTCCCTCGCCACAGCCCTCACTTTGCTGTTCCCTCTGGTGGGTGCCACCCTTCCTCACCCTGGCAAACTCCTACTCTCCCTTCAAGACCTTGCCCAGGTGGCCCCTTGGCAGGAGGCCTCCCCAGTCTCAGCCTCAGAGGACACACAAGGCTGAACTAGGAGCCCGGAGGCTGTCAGCAGTGGCCTTGGTCTCTGGAAGGGAATCTGGAAATGCTAACCCCCACGTGGAGGCTGCCTGGCAGTGGAGGCTAGGGCTGGGACCAACTCCAGAGTGAGCTCAGACTGACAGGCTCCTAGGCTCCTCAGACAGAGGTCTGGCCCTGGTGTGCTTCCTGTAGAATGGGGTGTAAACCTCCCTCGAATCCTACCCAGTCCTGGAGAAGAGACCCCACCAACCTGTATCCCCTTTGCCACTGGACACACATGTGCCACCACCCTGTGCACACTGGACCTGATCCTCCTTTACCCCACTCCCACATCCAAAGAGACACACACACTGACAGATGCACCAACCCTCTTAAAACACACAGAGCACATGCAGACACGCCCAAGACATCGTGGATCTGTGTGCACAGAGACGCACACCCGGACGTTAGCACAGGCTGGGAAATGCCTGGTGCACCGATGCCCATGTGCACACATGCACATGCATGGCCAGGGCAGGAGGCCTGGGAGCATGGAAGCTGCCCCTTTTCCTGCCCCAGGCCCCCAGGGCTTCCCGTTTACGAGACGTTATCTATCAAAAATATATTAACCCAGAAGCCTGTTTCCATCAGAGTCTCTATTCCAGGGACATTTCCAGATAAGCCTTATCTCCTCGCTTGTGCATTAGCCCCGCTGTCGGGGGCCTGCCAATCATGGCTGCCCCTCCTGCCACAGCCCATGGCAGGATGCCGGTCCATGACCTCACTCCATGTGGGCAGGCAGGTGAGGGGACCCGGGCACTGCTGCCCCATGCCCCATCCCACTCCTCAGCCCACAGAGGACCCCAGAGGGCACCTCTTTTCCAAGGACACGCCTGAAGCACTGGTGGGCAAGGGACTCTGGAAGCACCTGGAGCCTCAACACAAACTCCAGCTCTATCTGGGGCAGCTGCAGGCGGCCAAGCCCTGCCCTGCCTGCACCCCTGTGAAACAGGCATGCTGTTGCGATACCACCCCTGTGGGTAGATGAGCAGATTCAGTGAGTTTACCTGTGTATTGGTGGCTGCAGTGAGCTTGGCCCCTGGAACCCTCTCCTCCATAAAACATGGGTGCCTGGGGCAGCCCAAGTCACCCTGAGTGGCGGAGGGTCAGAGAAGGGGACGTGCACGCCCACACCTTGGCCCCAGCCAGAACTGGGTGCTGGCTCTGGCTCCTGCCCACCATCCCGGCCAGGCTGCATCTTCAAAGGCTTCGGGCCCTGGCCCAACCCCACTAATGGACGCTCGGGTTTCCACTGATGCCGGGCCTGATAGAGGACTCTCCCGGGGCAGTCGGCTGGGAGTTCTCAGGCCACACAGAGCAGGCCTGCCTCACTGCACACTCCAGGGGCTCAGAGGCTCCTGGGAGTCGCCCTGGGCAGCCCCTCCTCCCTTCTGTCCCTCAGTTAATCCACCCAAGCCCCCTCCTTCCCAGGGCTTTGAGGAGCACTGTCTTTAGATTAGTGGGGAGGGGAGAGGTGGAGTGGAGGTGGACACCCTCACAGAGGTCCTGGAAAAATGAATGATTTGGGGCCGGTGTCACTTCCTGAGGGGTTTTGGGCCCTTTGCCTCTCAGTGGGAGACGTATGGGGCCCACCCTAGGGCCACAGGTAACACGGGATCAGCACTGTGTCCTGCAAGTCTCCCATCCCCAGGGCAGCCCTCTGGCATGGCTGCTTTTCTTCTTCCATTTTATACATGGTGATGCTGAGGCATGAGGTTAGGGGACTTGCCCAAGCTCACACCGCAGGTAGGAGAGGCCTGAATCTATGCCTTGGTGGCGGCAGCCATGTGTGCTCATCCTTCCTCCACACTGGATCTGGCCCCAGAGCCCGCTTCCATGGACTAAGTGCCCCCGACGCCCAGCACAGGTTCCACTGGGTCACATGGCTCCTCATTTGAGACCGCGACACACCCAAGGTCACCCTGCAGGTGCAGGCCAGGATCTGGGGCTGAGATCAGCTCCATATGCAGGGACCCTAAAGGGGCTGGGGAGGGAGGGGTCAGCCTCAGGCCCCTTGGTCAGGGAAGGTGTGGCCTGGCTCCCAGCTCAGCCCCACACGGAGGAGGAGGGAGGTTTCCTTGCCTAAGAGGCAAGTCCTGGGAGCTGGGTTCAAATCCAGTGCTGGCCCTCACCAGCAGCTCCCAGATCTGTGCTGGGAGGTAGCCAGCTCAGACAGCACGGGTGGGTGCTCAGAGGGGCCTCTCCTGCCCCTGGGGACTGACAGGTGGGGGGCTATGAGCCCAGCTCGGTGCTGACTGAAGTGCTCTTGGAGGCCTGCTCCCTTCTTAGGCTGCCCTCCCCTGGGGGCCCAGCAGGCTAGCGGGGTGGAGCAGGGAGCCTGGTGTGGGCTTGAGGCCACTGCCAGTTTCCTGGGCGGAGTGGCTTCAGCAAAGTGGCACTGCCTTCCTGGTGAAACAATCTGCAGGACTGGGCAGAGTGAGGAGGCTGTGGGGCACGGCACCAAGCACACAGTGGGATAAGGCCCAGGAGGCGTCTGCTCAGGCAGCGGCAGTGGAGGGGGAGCTGGCTCCCAGGCAGAGGGCTGTCCTGATTCACAGTGCAGACAAGCCACCTCGGCATCTGCAGCCTGCAGCAGCAGCAGTGGACACCATGCTCACTGGGGACACACTATTCCTCATGTTCCTCCAGGGCCAGTCCCTTCATGGGACTGAACTGGACCCACGGCTGGGAAGTGGGGGTCTGGGTCTTGAAGGTCTTGCACATAGCTCTCAGTTGTTGCCCTTGACTGCTGCTCCAGCCCTGCTGTCTCGGTCCAAGTCAAGGTTGACCAAGGGTGGCCAGGCCACTCACCATCACTGGCATCCTTGCAGCATGGGGGCTTTGCTCCTGGTGTATTTAATTAGCTGCCTGCTCCCCAGCTACCACGTGCACGCACACACACACACGCACGCGTGCAGCTCTGGGGCTTAACAGCCCCAAGTCATTTGATCGAAACCTGCCCATTAATATTTTTAATGCCATTTGCAAATTAAAGCAAAATGCACCGATTACCGGGATAAAAGGGAGGCCTCTGCATCCGTCTGGAGACCAAATAAAGGAACGTTTGAACATCTGTTCATCCTACAAATATCTCTAAAAGCTTTGATTTCCCCTCAGTCAGTTGACTCCACCATCTCACCCTTTCCTGAGTATCCCACAGCCTGGGGCTGCAGGGCAGGGTGGTCTGTGGGTGCAGGGGATGGCAGATGGCTCTGCACAGGGCCCCTCACTATGCTAGCCTCCACCTTCTGGAAAGTGTGTGGTCTTCAAATTCGAGGGCAGGGGCTGAGAGACTCCTGGTGTTGGGAAGGAGGAGCAAACTTCCACCTGCTCTGTCTGATGCCCTGGCCAGGCACCCTGCTGGTTCCCAAGTCCCCTGTGGGTGCCCTCCATGGCCAGGCTGCCTAGAGAATCCCCATTCTCCCTCAAGGCCCAGAGCACTCCAGGAGCCAACCAGTGGGGTTGAGGAGGCCAGATGCTCTGCAGACTCCCACAGCCTATGGACTCTGAGTTTGGGTCCCTCCCCTGGCCCCACCTGGGCAGGAGCTCTTGGGATTCCTCTGACATTCCCCTCTGAATAGAGCTGGGGAGGGCGGGGGCCCTAGTGAAGTCACAGAGAGAGAGACACCAGTAGAGTGGTCTGGGGCCACGGGACATTTATTTGTAGCCGCCAAGTGCCTGTCCACCTGGGGGAGGGGTGAGACTGGCCTGCAGGTGGCCAACAGCTAGGGAACTGGAAGATGCTGGCTACCAGCCCTCTGCCCAGGGCCCTTTCCTAGTTGGGCCTGGTGGCTGTCCTGGGTGGGAGTGTGCAGGGGCTGGAGGACAGACCCTCCTAGCCCGGCAACCCATCCCACCTCAGGTCCTCACTGGGGCTGAGCACCAAGCCTGGAGGTGGGGGCTGCTGCTGCAGGATTGCAGGGAGACACTGGGAGAGACTGAGGCACCTCTGGTTGGCATTTGGCACAGCAGCCTGGACTCGGCTGGGCAATGAGGCCCTGGGGGAAGTCACTGGACACTCAGGGAGACTGGACCATGCGCTTGTGGGTGTCGAAGACATAGCGCTTGAAAGACAGGCTGAGCGCCACGTGCTGAGCAGGCTCGGTCCGCTCAGTGCTCTCCTCCTGCCTGGTGGCCTCCCCACGGCCAGCCCGGCCCCGCTTCTTGAGGGTGGGAGTCAGGATCTTCTTGGACTCAGGGCTGAGGCCACCTACAAGGCACAGAAGACAGACTGTCACTCTGCCATATCCCAAGCACCAATGGGTTTCCTGCCCGCCCACCTGCTGCCTAGACTCAACCCTCTTCTGCCTCCCTTTCCAGCCAAGCAGCTGTGAGGCCTGAGGTCCATTCTTGACATTTCGGCCCCTCTGGCGCCCATCTGATAGGTGTAAGAAGCGTGTCGTGCTTCTCTATGCCCCGTTTCACTACCCCCTGTGCTCAGGCCCTGCCCTGTGCCCAGTGGCCCATTGCTTTCCAGCACACTTATGCCACGTCCACATCTGGAAACTCAGCATCTGAGGCTCCCTGGGTAAGGTGCTCCTTGATTGCTCCTGGAGACCCATTCTTCACCCTCGTGTGCCTGGGAGACTGACCCCTGCAGACAGCATGACCAGGTTTAGCAGTGGGAGTCCCAGCAGTCCGGAGTATGAGAAGAGAGCGAAGTCAGGGTGTGTATCCCTGGCTCCCTTTGGCAGGCAGGGCCTGGGCTGCCTTCACCCCCACCTGCCCTCAGTGGGATATGCAGGCTGCATACCCAGCCACCCCAGTAGCAGTCCCAGGAGCTACTGCCCACTGGGGCTCCCTGTCCCATGCCATTTTCATGGTGCTCCCTCGGTTCAGTTTGCCACAGCCCTGTGAACTTGCTCCCATCAGGAACCCCCTGGCGGGGCCATGGGGCTCACAGAGTGAATGGCTTGACCTGGATCCTCTGCCAGGGGTAGATGCTGCCCCCACCCCCAGGTGTTGGTGGGTGCAGCTCCCACCACTTTCCAGCCACTTCTATGAGCTCCTTTAGCCATCCCATGCCTCACTAAAGACCTTCTGTTCAACTCCCTCCAGCTGAACGTCTGAGTGGAAATCTCTTTCCTGCTGATGCTCCAACTCACGTCCACTCCAGCTCCTTCCATCCTCATCACGCTCTGCCTGTGTGCTGTCCCTGAAGCCCTGCTGGCCATGGTCCATTCCTGGGCTCCTCATTGCACATGCAAGTCTCTCACATGCTGTTCTCTCTGCCTGGGACACTCTTCCTCTCCTAGGCAATAGAAGTCCCGCTCATCCTTAAACATGCTGCTGCAACCGCCCTTTCTCTGGGGCTTGTCTTTTTTATTTTTTAATGGACAAATTACAAACTGTGTATATTTATAGTGTACTATATGATTTTTTTTGTGTGTGTGTGACAGGGTCTCACTCTGTTGCCTAGGCTGAAGTGCAGTGGTGCAATCTTGGCTCACTGCAACCTCCACCTCCTGGGCTCAAGAGATCCTCCCACCTCAGCCTACTGAGTAGCTGGGACCACAGGCTCATGCCACCACGCCTGGCTAATTTTTTGGATTTTTTGTAGAGATGGGGTTTTGCCATCTTGCCCAGTCTAACATGAGGTTTTAATATATGTATACATTGTGGAATGATTAAATCAAGCTAATTAACATATCCATCAGCTCACATACTTATTTTGGCGATGAGAACATTTAAAATCTTTTCTCTTAGCAAATTTCATTGAATACTCTACATTGTTATTAATTATAGTCACCATGCTGTACAGCAGATCTCCTGAATTGATTCCTCTGGTCTAACTGAAACTGTAAACCCTCTGACCAAGATCTCCCCATTCCCTGCCAAGCCACCACCCCCAGGCCCCTGCAGCCACCCTTCTACCCTCTGCTTCTATGAGTTTGGTTTTTGAGGTACCACATATAAGTGAGATCATCAACGTATGTCTTTCTATGCTGTGGGGCTTGTATTCATGAGGAATCGTCTGGTGGCGGCACAGTGCGGACTCTGTGTGGGCTACTGGCCAGGGTGAGACCACTCGGCAGGCTCCTCGGCATCTGTGAGAGTGGGCAGGCCCAGGGCTCACAGCAGTTCCATGCCTGGCAAAGCACCCCTATGTGAGCAGTTACTCTGTGAGCCCCATGGACCCATTGGGGGGTCCTGGTGGGAGCAAGATCATGGGGCACTGTGAGAATGGCATGGGGAAGGGAGGCCCAGTGGGTGGTGGCTCCTGGGGCTGCTATTGGGGCAGCTGGGTATGCAGTCTGCATATCCTATTGAGGGCAGGTGGGGGTGAAAGCAGCCTAAACCCTGCCTGCCAAGGAGGCATCCCAGCAGGATCCCCTCCCAATGTGTGCAAAGGGCCCGTATAGGCTGGGGGCCTAGAGGTCCAGAGTCAGGGAGAAGCTGGGCAGAGGCACAGGCAGAGGGCCCAGCTTCCTACATACCACGAGTACCTATGCCACCACATCTCCTGGCACTGCCTTTTCCCAGTTCTGCCCAGTACTAGCTTCCTCCCTGAGAAGATAAGCCAGCCACGAGGCTTGGGCATCAAGCTTCAGTCTGGAGGGTCCTGGCCTGTCATCTCAGACAGGGAGCATTGGCTGGCAGGGATGTGTGGGTTATTTCTGGCTCAGTTTGCTGAAGACGTTGGCACCCCTTCTTTATACAGATGAGAAAATCAAGGTCTGAGAGGGCAGTGACTAACTGGAAGCCCAACAGTGAGCTCAGAAGAGCCAGGATTTGAGCTCAAGGTGCTTACCCAATGGCAAAGCCAGCTTCTGCTCTCCACCTAGAGTGATGGGTGGGGGTCCCACCTTTCAGTGGGCTTCTGACAATGGTTCTTAAGGCTGTGAGAGCGTTGTGCACTGGCCCTGCAGCTCTAGATGTTTAAAAAGGTAACAAGGGTGCTGGATGAAGGGGACATCTGTAGAGTCAGCCAGGGACAGCCTGCCCCACTGCACAAAGGGTCCGGTCTCCTTCTGGCAGGCGGAAGTGAGATTATTGGCCATCTAAAGCCTGGGTCCCCTGGGAAGGCCAGGGATATGCAGCTGATATGAACGGGGTTCCAGGAGCCAGGCTGGCCCTTGCATGCCTGCCAGAGGGACATGTGACACTGTGGCCTTGGGGACCTGTACTAGGAAGGTGACCCTGTGAGCAGCACACCTCACATGGAGACTGAGCAGCAGTGTCTCCTGTGCAGGTTCCACACGTAGGTGGTCTGCCCCCTCTTGGGATGGGGCACAGAGTGTGGGCATGTGGAGGACCCTGACCAGCCCCCTCAAGTGAGCACCAGGCCTGCAGGTATCTGAATCCCTGAATCAGGGCCTTCTGCAAACAGAGCAGGTAGCTGGCAGCAGACCCCGACAAATGGCATGGGCAGCCCGTCTCCCTCTGGTGCCAGGAGGTCTGGAGGCTGAGGAGGCGTGGGGCTCCCCGGCGTCTGTGCCGGGCTGGGGAGACAGGCGTGGCCCAATCGGCAGTCCATCTCGCCTGCGATGGCTCTCGTTACACACAATGCATACCTTGCACTGCCTGGAGCAGGCAGAGCCGGAAAGTCTATCTGGCACTGGCGAAGATGTGGCCATTTAATTGCTCTTCTGAGATGGTCAGGCTTGTTTACCTCTGCTCCATTATGGACTGGCCAGGAAGCTACACCTGGAAAGCCTGACCAACAGGAGACTGGCCATGGGTCTGCATGGATTCATGGCAAATGTCACCAGGAGCTGCTTTGTTTTCCCAGTGGTCTTTTTTCTTTCTTAGCCATATGGCAAACAGAGGGAAGTGAAGAGCACCCCAGGGTGTCACGTGGTGAGAGAGCTGCTGCCCACCCGGCCAGACTTGCGGGGTCCTGCCCTGTGCTTCTCCCAACCTGCCTCTGTGTCTTTTCACTTAAAAACATTCAGGGAACACGCCAGGACAGGGAGACAAATGGTGGTGAATGCACAGATCAGGGCCCAGCTCCCACGAAGTTTACTGGTCTAAGAAGGCACAGCCAGTGAATAAGGCAGCCAGATCTCCAGACAGCAGAAGGGTGACCAAGGAAACAGTGCCGCTGTCACTGGGTGGGGACACGGTGGCTTCAGCATGTTCCAAGGGCAGGCTTCAGGAGGACGAATGCTGGACCAAAGGCCAGATGACAGGGACCAGCCATAGAGATTGCTGGCACGGATCCACAGGCAAAGGGAATTTGAGTGGCAATTCCCGGGGTGGGGTATGCGAGAGGAGATGAGGGCAGATGAAGTCACGTGCCATGTGCAGTGCAGTACGAGGGCCTGGCTCCAGGATGACCACAGCTCACCATGTCCACAAGGTGCCTGTGTGCCAGGCTCCCTGCACTGTGCACTGACTTGGGGTCAGGTGGGCGGGAAGGCAGTGACAAGGTGATGTGCCAAGTGCCCATCTGCCTGGTGTCTACTTCCTGTAGGCCCTGGGGTCTCCAAGGCAGGCAGGACAGGTCCTGCTCTGCCACCTGCTCTGCTGGGACCTATGCTGTCAGGGACGTGCAGTCCTGCCCCATCTTCCTCCCTTCACTGAGGCTGCTCTGGGCCTCTGCCCTCTGCTTGTTCGTGGCTCACAGCCCCGCCCCTGTGTCGGCCTCCTTGCTGCTCTCCTGCACACCTGGTCCATCTCTGCCTCAGACCTCTGTCTTTACCAATTCCTCTGCCTGGAATACCCCCTCAGGAGCTCCGGTGGCTGCAAGATCACTGTACAACTGTCACCTCTTGGTGGGGCCTTTGTGACGACCTTGTTTAAAACCACAACCCCTTTGAGACCAGCCTGACCAACATGGGGAAACCCCGTGTCTACTAAAAATACATTAGCAGAGCATGGTGGCACACACCTGTAGTCCCAGCTACTCGGGAGACTGAGGCAGGAGAATCATTTGAACCCAGGAGGCGGAAGTGGGGTGAGTTGAGATCACGCCATTGCACTCTAGCCAGCCTGGGCACCAAAAAACTCTGTCTCAAAAAAAGCAAACCAAAAACCAAAAACCAAACAAAAAAACCCCCACAACTCCCTCATGTTCCCCTGACCCCTTCTCACCCCACTATTTTTCCTATAGCTCTTATTACCTTCTAACATCCTCTATAACGTCTTTGTTTTGGTGTTTGCTGTCTGCTTCTACTAAAATGGCAAGCTCCACCCTGGCAGGGAGTTTTGTCTATTCACTGTTGTAACCCTAACACCTGGAGCAATCGCTGCTGAATGGCGGGCACT